AAACTATGATAAATTGGAGATAGTTGGAACAAACAGAATAATCCCTCTTAGTTCCTAGAATGCTTCATAATACTAACCTAGACCCTGAGAACCCAGAGGGAAGACACCTCCTTATGACATTTTTTTCCTGGAGCTCCCGACATTAGGGTTAAGCTTAGGTGTCTGGAGAGAGGACCTCTAACCCCACAGGCAGAAGTTTTGAGGGTGGTTTTTAAGGTGTACCATGAGAGAGATGAGAAAGCCCTTAAACACAAACACCAAATGCTGGCCAAGGCCATCGGATCAGCCTCGGAGTCTGCCCGGGATCTCTGAGGCTTGAGGACCACAGCGTCCATGTTTTAAATGTGGTCAGTATGGGCACTGGGTTCGAGCTTGCCCAAATCCCCGTGCGCCACTTAAACTGTGTCCAAAATGCCAGAAAGAGGGGCACTGGTCAGTGGACTGTCCCCATGTCCCTCGTGGCAGGAGGACATTAGACATGACTTCCTAGCCCTGGCCATGGATGATGACGATGAGTGAAGGGGCGCCGGATCTCCTGACCCCACCACTGTCATCTCTGACAGGGAGCCCTGGGTGGACATCAAGGTATCAGGGTGATCCATCTCCTTCCTCTTGGACGTCAGTGCCACACACTCAGCCCCGAGGGAGTTTTGGGGACCCACCTCTCCGCCTTGTCTCCCTGTTGTTGGGGTAGGACAGCCTTACCTACCTCATCAGACCCCCCCCACTCAATTGCACTTTCAGGGGAGTTCCCCTTACTCATCCACTTCTGGTTATGCCTACCTGTCCTGTGCCCTTACTGGGAAGGAACCTTTTAGCCAAAGTAGGAGCTTCTATTTCTTTTGCTCCCCCAATTCTCCTAAACCCAGACTCGCAGGGGCTCCTCTCCTCCTCCTCCTTAGCCACCTACCCTACCGGCTCCAATATGCCATTTCCTTTGCCAGCCTCTCAGGTGGACCCCCAAGTCTGGGACAAGCAAACCCCTTCTGTGGCTAGACACCATTCCCCCATTGTCATTCAGTTACAGAACCCTTCACAGCAGTCACTCAGGTCCAGTAACCACTCCCACTCCAGAGCCTTGGGGACTTAAACCATCATCTCTGACTTCCTAAGGGGGAAAAAGCTACTTCATCCTACATCCTCTCCCTATAATGGCGGTTAAAAAACCCAATGGGACCTACTGCCTAATTCAAGACCTCCGGCTCATTAATTCTGCAGTGGTCCCCTCCGTCCTGTGGTACTAATCCTTACACACTCCTCTCCTCTGTCCCCTCAGGGACCTCTCATTTCTCAGTTTTGGGTCTCAAGAATGCCTTTTTCTCTACCCCTCTCAACACTCAGTCTCAGAATGCATTTGCTTGCACCTGGACTGGCCTGACACTCACGCTTAACACAGCTCACCTGGACATTACCTCAGGGATTCTCGGACAGCCCACATCTTTTTGGCCAGACTCTAGCTTCTGACCTACTTTCTGTCTCTCCCCAAATCTAAACTCATACAATATGTAGATGATATCTTACTTTACAGCCTGCCCTTAGAAGTTAGCCAAACTGATACCTCTGCTCTTCTAAATTTCTTGTCCAGCAGGGGCTGGAGAGTCTCACCTTCCAAGGTTCAACTGTCCACTCATCAGGTCACCTATTTGGGACTAACCATTACCCTGACTCACAAAGCTTAAACAGAAAAAACCTAATGCAGTCTCTTGCAGCTCCTTCTACTAAAGAGGAGATTTTGTCGTTTCTAGGAATAGCTGGCTTCTTACGCTCCTGAATCCCTCCTACCCTCTCCTAGCTCGTCCCCTATATGAGGCAGCTCTTGGCTCTCCATGTGAGCCCCTCCTTAACCCTAAGCCCATCCAGAAACTCCAGGCCCCAGCCTTTCATCTTCCAGACCTAACTCGTCCTTTCTCCTCTGTGTAACAGAAAAGGAGGGACACGCCCTTGGAGCTCTAGGTCACCAGCTGGGAGCTTCCTTTGCACCCTCAGCACAGCTGTCACAGAAACCAGACCTAACTCCCCAGGATGGACACCCTGCACACGCGCTTTGGCAGCTGCCGAGCTCCTCATTCGTGAATCGAAGAAACAACCTTTGGGTCACCCACCACCACCTTCTCCCTCCACAGCCTGTCCCATCTCTTAACGTACAATGGCTTGCAAAGTCTCCCTTCTTCCCAGGTTCTTTCTCTCCAAGGGGCACTAGTGGAAGATGCCACACTTACTTTCCAGTCCTGCCCACCCCAGTATCTCAAACCTTCTCCCTCAACCTAATACTATTCCCCATCTCCTTCCTGCACTGAAACCCTAGAACTGTTGCTCATCCTTCACACACACACGAGGGCCCACTACCCCAGGGCTGGTACACAGATGGCAACTCCTTTTAATGTGAGGGGACCCGCAGAGCAGGCTACAGCACGGCGTCAGACACCAGGGTGGAGGAGGCAGGGGCATTCCCCACCCACACTACTAACCAGCAGGCTGAACTAGTAGCTCTCACCTGTGCCTTCCAATTAGCACAGGGGCATTCCCAAATGTTTGCACAGACTCCAAGTATGATTTTCACATCCTCCTGTCTCATGCTGCCATCTGGAAAGAGCTTGGACTACTTACTACAACAGGAGGATCCATAACTAACTCAGGTTCTATTATGGCCGAGCTAAAGGCCTCCCCCCTCCCCAAAGCCATAGGGATTATTCACTGCCATCTCATCAGAGTGACAGCTCCATTATCTCTGGGGGCAACAACCGGGCTGATGAATCAGCTAGGGCCGCAGCCCCCCCCCCAGGCCCAGATCTACCTCACCCACCACAGGGAGTCGTACACTACAACACACATCCTCACAGTCACCTCCTGACACTCGACAATTCCTGTCCTGTCTACACCAGCTCTTTCACCCCAACAGCCGGGCTCTGTAAGGCTCACCTCCAGTCCACCCCTGAGGACTTGCGTTTCTTAACAACTATCACTGCCTCTTGTAAAACCTGTCAGATGTCAGACCCTAACTCCAGGTATCACAGCCCCCCTTTTCCTACCCACCAGCCCAGGGGCTCTCTCCCAGAGACTGACTGGCAACTTGACTTTACCCACATGCCCACAGTCAGACGAGTCAAGTATCTCCTGGTATTAGTCGATACCTTTTCAGGGTGGGCAGAAGCATTTCCAACCACTAACAAAAAAAGCCAAGACAGTGTCTGACATCCTTCTCAGAGAAATTATTCCCCGATTGGAATTCCAGGCTCCCTTCAGTCAGACGATGGTCCTGGGTTCACCTCTCAGATCTCCCAAGCCCTATCTAAAGCTCTCAACATCTCTTGGCGTTTTCATATTCCATACCACCCCCAGCCCTCAGGGACGGCAGAGTGAACTAACCGTTCTTTAAAACATTCTTGTTAAAACGTCACAGGAGCTTCACCTTGACTGGTTAACTCTTGCCTGACTCTTCTCAGGTTCAGGGCTCCCCAAACCCCCCTTTCCATCTCACCCTTTGAACTCTAACACCTGCTCTCACCTAAGCCCTCGCCTCTCCCTGACCCCCTGCTTACACCCCTCCTCCATCATCTCCGTTCCCTCCTGCAGGACTTACTGACCACTCCCGACCCCAACCATGTACCAACCCTCGTGCACACCCAATTAACATCGGGGACCAGGTCCTTTTCTCTCCTCTAGACCAACACCACTCACCTGTCCCCTCAGTGGCAGGGCCCCTTCAAGGTAATTCTCGTGATTCCAACAGCTGCTAAGAGTGAGGGCCTCCCCACTGGATTCATTCACCCCACCTCAAACCCTTTAGCTGTCCACCTGAAGCTCACCCCCCACATACAGCAACTGCAACAGGACCCTGCTCCCTTAAGCTCCAGAGTACGGGGTCAACTACCTTGTGCCCGATTTCAGAAGAATGAGGCTTCAGCCCTACAACCACACTGTGCTGGACTGGGAACCCCACGTTTTCCTTCCTGACCCTTCTCCCTCTCCTCAAGCTGACCTGAGCTCTCCTGTTTCTTTCTACTAATTACACCCTGCTCATCAATCTCCTCTCCCAATAACTCATTAAAACTCCTATCAATTAGCCGTTGTTACAGGACGACCCGACAGTGGCCACGGATCTGGAGACACAAAGACCATCAAGCATGTCCAGGTGCCCTCAGATCAACCACCTGTGCCTCCTGAATGAATGTAAAGGTCTAAGAGTTCCGCTGGGCTGCAATGAAGCAGAGGCCATGGAGGTGTACTGTTTACTGGCTTTCGTTCTTGTACTATCCAGGACCACCTGCCTAGGGGTGGCACTACCTACAATGGGCTTGGCCCTCCCACATCAATCACTAATCAAGAAAATGCCCCACAGACATGCCTACAAGCCAATCTTAAGCAAAATATTCCATCTTCCCAGATGTCTAAATTTGTTGTCAAAAACCAACAACCACAGAACCCACCTGCCTTGGCTGAGCCTGAAGGTGTGTGCCATCATGCTGTTTGGTTTTTCTAGACAGGGTTTCTCTGTGTAAGACTGGCTATCCTGCAAACTCTCTTTGTAGACCAGGCTGGCCTCGAACTCATAGAGATCTACCTACCTCTGCCTCCTGTGCTGGTACTAAAAGCATGCACCACCATGCCCAGCTTGTTTTCTTTTTTTTAAATACATCTCAAATCTTCACAAGTCTACCATATCTACATCTACGACAGGCCATATATGATTTGGTTCACAAAGAAGGCACTATTTATCACTGCCTGTGTCCTAGCCCGCAATCTCATCAACACCCACATACAGGCAAGCACACTGTGTCTTGTAAATTGTCATGTAGAGTTATCTGAGTTTTTGATGGTGAAGTCTTCACCCAATGCTTTATTTGCAAAGCATACACAGTTTGTTAGCTAAAGGAATTCTTGTGAATCACATTATTAGAAACACTTTAATAATTTGTTTTATGAATTCATTTTTTTAGCCTAAGAGCAAATGAGTCTTATGAAAATTACTTTTAAATCAAGGAGAAAACAGACTGTGATGATGCAAGCCTTTAAAAAACACTTTATTAATATGTTTCTCACAACCTGGGGAATCCTATTTACCAAGTAACAGAAAAATCCTTATTTTCCAGAAAGGAAAAGCACCAAGAAGCATGGGGCACCCTAACTGCTGAGTGCCAGGACTACTGCTTTCCAGAACTTCTGAGCTCCACACCACCTCCAAATCCAGTAACTCGTGAATGACACAGCAAGCCACAGCACTGCCACTCCTATTCTTATACACACATACTCCCTTAGCTCATCGGCACAGACGTTCCCTTCCAAGCAAACAGATCAAGAGTCAATACACAGCACTACCTTTCACGAAGCAAGATCATTAATTCTGAAGAGCAAACATGAATGTATTGGTTGAATCAGTAATCCACTATTTGTGCAGACGACTTCTGGTGTCCAACAATACTTTAAAGCCACTCTTCACTTATGAGAGAAATGTGCGCACAGTCCCCTTGATTGTACCCCGGCAGATGGGGCACTTTCTCAAGGAAGGGGCACACTCCTGACAGACTACCAGATGACCACAAGGAATGAACACAACAGAAACCTCTCTGTCCATACACACTTTGCAAGTTCGTTCTTCTTGCAATCTCCGCAACTGCTCTTCCAGTGACAAGCCTAAGACAAAAAAGAGCGTTAGTGGGCTGGAGAGATGGCTCAGAGGTTAAGAGCACTGACTGCTCTTCCAAAGGTCCTGAGTTCAATTCCCAGCAACCACATGGTGGCTCACAGCCACCTATAATGAGATCTGGTGCCCTCTTTGGGCCTACAGACATACATGTAGGCAGAATACTGTATGTATAATAAATAAATCTTTAAAAAAAAAAAAGAGCGTTAGTAAAATGCAGCTTCTAAAAAGTACTAGAAATACTGTTGAGTACTAACTGTACTTTACCTGAAACATCTTCTGTTGGAATATACTTCATATTCTTTTCCACTGAAAAAGGAAATCATACAAAAATCATTCTCTTTTTTAAACTACTGTTTTTATACAGATTTTTGCTATATATTACAAAGAATACTACCTAGGCAGTAAAATACACCATTATTTTTGGAACAGGTAAAATGTAAAGATTACAGTTTAACTGGATTTATTCTACTTGCTCAACAGATATGAACAAAACCCTATGGGTATCTAAATAATTTTCCTAACAAACTCACCAAATAAGTCTTCATATAATGTGGAGTCGATTTCCTTCAGACAGTTTTTGAAGATGTTGGCTGCAGCATTTCCTTTGACTAAAACAGTGTCAATCAGCTCTCTTGCTTGTAAGGGTGTCTGTGTTTTCTGTCTAATAATATCATGTTCCTGTTTAGTAATCACACTGGCCTCAAGAAGACTGTCCAGGAGAGGAAGGACACATGTCAACTGCTGAAAGAGGGCCATTCTATTCTTCCGTATTAATGACAAGTCACCTTCAGTTAAAAACAAGCAAGAAAAACTTCCATTAAATGTCAAAGGCCCCAAGTATACCCAATGAACCCTATGCACAAATTAGGCCTAACCCGAGCTTGAAGGAGAAGGAAAATGACTTGTCTGCACCAGCATACTGCCATCGTAAACTTCCAGATTAAATTCACATGTCTCACACAGCACAAACACTCTCAAGTCTAAACGCTGATGAACTGGACCCACGTCTTCCAATTGTTGAGAACATCAGAAATCTTTAGAGAGAGTGGTAAAACATGGGCCCTTTTTCTTTCTCTTTCCCCACAATGGAGTTAAAAAGTAATTTATTTCTTCTGTATTGTATCTCTTTACTGGTCATAAGCACAGGTACACAAATTGTCATTCACAATGTTAATTACATAAGCCACCTATCTTCCAGAGAGGGAGCCTCAGAACAGCATGAGTGGCTTGTCCAAGGTCACAAAATGAGTTGCCAAATCAGTCCTAACCTAGCTGAGTCTGGTTATTTCCTTAGACAGGACCTTCTGTATCCAGGCTCTGCGTCCCTTCTATGTGCTGGGATTCCAGGCATGAAGTCCCGAGCCTGGTTTACACAGTGCTGATGTCCACTGAGACTCACACCACCTATGAACACAGCACTCAAGAGCTGAAGCGACAGATGGACTTTGCTGGCTCAAAGGCAGCAAATGCAGCCCCTTCACACCTCAGCTGCCAATCTGAAGTAGGAACCACAGCACCTTCCTTACAGAGTCCAATAAAATGGACACAGCCACTTAGCATAACACCTGGTGCATCTTGTATCTAAAATTATAGTGCAGCTTGAAAACTGAATCCAGCTTGCTCCTAACAGAGTACCCCACTTCAGAGGTAAGAGACCTGAAGCTGACTAGAATGAGCTGCCTACCTACTAACCAAAACAGGCCAGGACTTAATGCAAATCTGTCTCAATCCACACGTTAGAATTCTAAACATTTTGTTATATGGTCATACAATAATGCTGTCTTGAACTAGTCCTTTAAAAAACAAGAACATTTTCTACCTTGGGGGTGGGGGTGCCACCATGTGGGTCCTGGGCATCATACTCAGCCATCAGGCTTGGTAGCAAGTGCCTCATTGGCCTGAACTTTTTCTACCTTTACTTGAGGACAAAAGTGTTTTCTAACCTAATACCCCAATTTACATTATACATACACCTTTACTTCTCTGATAACTCTTTAAGGTTTTTTGTATTGTGTGTGGGGGGGAGTGTGTGTGTGTGGGGGGTGTGTGTGTGGGGAGTGTGTGTGTGTACACAAGTATCATGGCAGGCCTACAGCAGTCAGAGGACACCCCGTAGGAGCTGGTTCTCTCCCCGTCCTGTCTCCGGCTGTCAGCGGGGACAGCAAGCAGCCTTTCCCACTAAGCCGTCTTGCAGGCGTCTGCCAGCTCTGATTGTGTCTTTGAACCCTGTGTTCCCAGCTGATCCTTGGGAACAACTAGCACCTTCACATTATTTACCTCTGCTGCTGACATGGTTAAACATATGAAATAGTTGTTGAAAATGTAGCAACTCAGAAGACATGTTCTGGGAGGCTAAGATGTAAAAACAAATTACACAAATATCAAAATCATTTATATTGTCTCTGTGTTGGACAAAGGATCATGGCCAGGATGTCATCTTAAGTTGACTTTTTGGTATAAGGATAACCTAACAAGTAAATACCTACTAATAAAATACCATATTAGAACCCAGATTTGAAGAACTGTATTTAAGAAGTAGACATATTTCAATGTTTGAAAAAGAGGCTCTTGCTGTGTCGCCTAAGCTGACCCTGAACTCAGCATGCTCCTGCCTCCGTCTAGGAATGTTCCACCACAAGCAGCTCTGAATCAGCTTTAAATCTTGTATGTGTACCTGTATGGAGCTGAGTGTATGCGTGTGCAGCAGGTGTGTGCAAAGGTCACAGGTGGGTGTCAGATACCCTGGAACTAGGGTTTAGGACACTAGATTCCAAGCAGATGATGGGAACCAAACTCAGGCTCTTTGCAAGGACAGCAATAGCTCTTAGCCACTGAGACATCTCTCCAGCCCCTTAAATCATGCTTTTTAAACTTTAGCTATGTAGAAAGAAGAAATGCAATATAGCTCAAGAAAAAAGGGTTATTGTAAATCTGGGTATGGCAGCATATATATGCAATGCCAGCACTCTGGCATCGGGCACCAGAAGCTCAGGGTAGTTCAAGGACAGGACTACTTAGAGACCGAATTTGAAGCCGGCCTGAGCTTGACAATTTAGAAACCCTGGGGAAGAAGGATGTCTCCAGCACTGCATGGGTGTGGTCAAGGAGGCTGGCATGGAGCATGTAACTGGGACACCGTGTAGGCACAGCACTGCAATACCTGACGCGGTTTCTTCAGTCTGTCTCTCCTCCTCCTCCTCTCTCCTTTCACTCTCAGCATCAAGAAGTGCTGACACGAGGTCGCTGACCGTCCTGTAGCTCTCGCCAGTGGCCAGGATCTGACGCTGAACTGTCTGTCTTACCAGGCTCCTACTGAAGCCCATTTCCAAAGCCGCTTTAACCACAGGCGTGTTCATCATGACCACATCTTCTGAACTTTCATCAGGTCCGAAGTGCACAACTGTTTGCAGACAAATTGCTAATATTAAACTCCACCAAGTTAAAACTATGGAAAATAATGACTGTAGCACCTCTAATCTCATATCCTGATAGGCACCAATTAAATAAAATTAACTTCAATAACATTTTAACTTGATAATAGTTAAATGAGAGTACAATTAGTGTACTATGCATTTAAAAACTACTTCCTACACGCATGCATCTAGGCGCACGTAATGAAAACAATCTCCCAGCAATCTGCACTGCTAAGAATGTCCCCAAGTGGTGAGATGGCTGGGTGGCACTTGCTGCCAAGCCCGAAAGCCTTAAGTTCAACTCACAGGGCCCACAAGGTAGGAGGACAGAACCACTCCCAAAAGTTTCCTCTTTAAAACACTAAGGTTTATTTTTATGTGTATTGGTGTTTTGCCTGTATGTATGTCTATGTAAGAGTGTCAGAAACTGGAGCCACAAACAGTTGTGAGCTGCCATGTGGATGCTGGGAACTGTACCTGGGTTCTCTGGAAGAGCAGCCAAGTGCTCTGAATCACCGAGCCATCTCTCCAGACCTGAAAGCTGTCCTCTTAACACATGCTGTGGCATGTGCACCCACACATACACAATAACATATGTATTTTTTTAATTTTTCAAAAATCAAGCAGGCAAGATGGCTCATGGTATACATGTTTTCTGCTCAAGCCTATCAATTCATAAAACCCACAGGATGACTCCTGAAATAAGTAACCCTGTCTGTGTCTCTGTGTGTGTCTCTGTGTGTGTGTGTGTGTGTGTGTGTGTGTGTGTGTGTGTGTGTGTGTGTGTGTGTGTGTGTGTGTGTGTATAGAAATACCCTCCAGGCAGGGAATCAAGGAAACTGTGAAGTCCATTAAGAATCTAGACGTATGCCCACACAGACATAGCGTCTGGTCCTTTCCTGACACTCAGAAACGAGATGTAACAAGCTCCCCTCACAAAACAAAATGGACAGACACAAGAGTGGGACACGGTGTGAACACGCGGTACAGCTCCTCAGTACAATGCTTTCTCGCATTTGGTTGATAGCACAGTAAAAAGAACATAAAAAAACTAAGGAATGGGGTGTGGCCTAGGCAGAGGACCTGTCTGGCATGCTGAAATTCCATTTCTAACAATCATGCAAGCACCTGCCCCTTCCCCTGTAAAGGGTTGGGTGTAGGGCTGGGCCTTGCGCAGAGTGGCGAGCTTTTGCTAAGTGCACACTAAGCACTTGGGTGGCATTCACACCAACGGAGATGTACCAGAGTTAAATCACAAATAAAGTCTAAACAGTACGTAAGTGGGCAGGAAGAACAAGGAGGGGACCCACAAAGACAGCACGAAAACACAGCTAAATAAGCAAAGTAACGGGAGCCTGACCGGAGCGGTTATGAGGCTGGAAATGTAAGGTGACGAGAGGGGGAGTCGGGAGGGTCTGGGAAGCTTTTCTGCTAAGGGCAGTGCAAGCTCTGTGCCATTAGAGCTGGGCCTTTCCAAGACACTGTCCTGCCCTCTGCTGGAGACTGCTGCAACAAACACACAAACAGCCAATGCCAAACGTGCAGAGCTACCTCCTCAAAAGCATGTCCCAAGTGGCCAAGCCAGCCGACTGGACACCTCCTCCAGAAAATAAGAAAGGAGTGATGAAATAAAACCCTACAGCTGAAGTGATAAAGTAAGTGACAGGACTGTCTGAGAGAGAACACAAGCACAACAGCCTTAAGCAGGACTAGAACTAGCATGGTCAAGAAATGAAGACGGCAGCATGGTCAAGAAATGAAGACGGCAGTAGACGGGCAGACCGCAGGCAATGGCATACCGCTTTGTGAGGACTGCTTGTCTACCTCACCATAAGACTGCCAGAATACACGAGGACTGCACTGAGCACAGGGAACTCCCTAGGTGACTGGAGTGCTGCAGACACGGACTGGGGAGCTGGAAGGATAATCACAGAGCATGGAGAAGGCTGGCAGCGGTGGACAGTGAGTGTGTGCACTGTGAAGATGACAGACACTGAGTGTGTGCACACTGTGTGAAGGTCCAGCTGGGTCTGGGGCTGGCCGCTATGAACTGAAGTGGGGAGGGTGAGGGCATAGCCTCGGAGAAATCAGAGGAAGCTCGTGCTTGGCCTATTCACTGAAACGGCTACTTAAGCCAGAAATGAACGCACTTGAAACTTAAGCAGGTAACTGGACATTGCAGCCTAGCACCCACCCGACGAGCATAGACAACACTTCACTCAAAAATATAAAGAAGTGGTGGTGACGCACACTTAATCCCAGCCACTCGGGAGGCAGAGGCAGGCGGATCTCCGAGTTTGTGGCCTGCCTGGCCTCTGTTATACAGAGAAACCTTATCTCAGAACCAAACAAAGAAAAGAGCTAGCAAAGGAAACTGCTCAGAATCAACGGAACAACAGGAAACCCCAAAAGAATGACATCAGGGAAGTCACCAAGAGTATGCTGAGGACAAAAGCCCGTGTGCTGGAGTGCCTTTGTCACCCTAGCACTGGGAAGATGGAAGCCCTATGGATCTCCAGTTTAGGGCAGCCAAGAGTACTGCACAACACACTTCCAAAGGCAGCATTCAACTCTATCAAATGCCAGCGGTCAGGTGAGTAGGAGATCTGCTAATACAGCAGTTTCTGGTGACCATGACAACGTTTTTAAATTAGCAGCAGGGGACATAATCCAGAGGATGAAGCCAAGTTTGATGACATCCTGTACTAGAGCACTCAGAGGCTGAGGCCAGAGGATCCAAAGTTCAAAGCCAGTTTGGGCCCTGTATCAAAAATGAGTGAATAAAGGGGAAATAAATAAACAAAGAACAGAGAAAAGTGGCTTTGAAGAGAAAACAAGAGTTCTCTTTTCATTCTTCTATTTTCTTTGTTGTGTGACGTTTTTCTCTTTTACTCTTTGGGGCAGAGGGGGCAATCACACAGCCACAGAATAACATTTGAAGATATCCGGAAGTAAGAAAAGGAAAGAGCCCAAAAGCAAAAGGTAGTTGGATAATTTAAGAAAAGCTGGCAAGAAACAAAGCCAAGGCGAGGCACAAGCCTCTGCGTATGACGTATTTGGGAGCTGGGTGGCAGGCCCCTCAGAAAAGCCAGATGAGTAAAACATCCCGCAGCATCCCAGTGAAGGACATGAACCAGGAAACTGTGGGAAGAGTAGAGTGTTGTCGGGATGGCTGAGGGACGCGCCTGCCAGGCAAGCCAGAATGATCCAGAACTCATAAAGCTCAGAGAACCAACTCCTGAAAACTGCCTGGGGATCTTGTGATCTCACATGTGCACTGTGGCACAGGCAAGCCCAAACATGCACCACACGCACATGTACACGGTCTCACACATTCTCTATGATTTTGTAAATTAAAACCGTCATTCTGGAGACGGGCAGGTGAGATGTAAATCTTAGGATGGAATGTACCACGGTGCAGCATGGCAGTGTGGTGAGGTGCGGTGTACGTGGCATGGTGTAGTGTAGTACAGAGCGGCGTGGCACCGTGTAGCAAGGCCCTGGGTCCTAGCCTCAGCACCAGCCTAAATAAACCCTGAATAAAAACAGCTGCCCACTGCCCACTGCTTCACTTAGGTACGCCTTCCTTTCCTGACCAAGTCCCCTACGCACTGCAGTCACGCTTTCCATGACCGAGCCATGGTTTCTATGACTTTTCTATGTCTTGGTCCTCCTTCTCTGTTCTAGCCACAAAGCTGCCAAGGCCTCTCTTAAATGGTATGCCAAAGCCAGCACTCCCCTTCGGATGTGATTAGCACATCAAGTGACAGCTATTTCAGCCATCTTGGGGATCATAATACATGGAGATCACATACATAAGATACGGTTAAAATTCAGCTCCAGTCCAGAGCCCCTACACCCTGACTTGTCCCTGCCTTTCCACCTAACACCTGTCCATCATAAGTCAACTGTGACCCGCCTTCTCCAACCCTGTCCATCGTAAGTCAACTGTGACCCGCCTTCTCCAACCCTGTACATCGTAAGTCAACTGTGACCCGCCTTCTCTAACACCTGTCCATCGTAAGTCAACTGTGACCCGCCTTCTCCAACACCTGTCCATCGTAAGTCAACTGTGACCCGCCTTCTCCAACACCTGTCCATCATAAGTCAACTGTGACCCGCCTTCTCTAACCCTGTCCATCGTAAGTCAACTGTGACCCGCCTTCTCTAACCCTGTCCATCGTAAGTCAACTGTGACCCGCCTTCTCCAACACCTGTCCATCGTAAGTCAACTGTGACCCTCCTTCTCTAACACCTGTCCATCGTAAGTCAACTGTTGACCCGCCTTCTCCAACACCTGTCCATCGTAAGTCAACTGTGACCCGCCTTCTCTAACACCTGTCCATCGTAACCCAACTGTGACCCTCCTTCTCTAACACCTGTCCATCGTAAGTCAACTGTGACCCGCCTTCTCTAACACCAGTCCATCGTAAGTCAACTGTGACCCGCCTTCTCCAACACCTGTCCATCGTAAGTCAACTGTGACCTGCCTTCTCCAACACCTGTCCATCATAAGTCAACTGTGACCCGCCTTCTCTAACCCTGTCCATCGTAAGTCAACTGTGACCCGCCTTCTCTAACACCTGTCCATCGTAAGTCAACTGTGACCCGCCTTCTCTAACCCTGTCCATCGTAAGTCAACTGTGACCGCCTTTCAACACCTGTCCATCGTACAGTCAACTTGGCCTCTAACCCTGTCCATTGTAAGTCAACTGTGACCTGCCTTCTCTAACACCTGTCCATCGTAAGTCAACTGTGACCCGCCTTCTCTAACACCTGTCCATCGTAAGTCAACTGTGACCCGCCTTCTCCAACCCTGTCCATCGTAAGTCAACTGTGACCCGCCTTCTCTAACACCTGTCCATCGTAAGTCAACTGTGACCCGCCTTTTCCAACACCTGTCCATCATAAGTCAACTGTGACCTGCCTTCTCTAACACCTGTCCATCATAAGTCAACTGTGACCCGCCTTCTCTAACCCTGTCCATCGTAAGTCAACTGTGATCCGACTTCTCCAACACCTGTCCATCGTAACCCAACTGTGACCCGCCTTCTCTAACACTGGGAAGCAGCCTTTCCTCCTGGAGGGAAAGCTTTCATTTGACACGACTTCAGGCTACTTCTTTTCTGTGTGTGTCTTGTTGCCTCATATGAAATGTCAGCACTTTAAAGACCAATAAATGTCTTAGAATATTTAAAATGTCACAAATCTTAGTAGACGCATTTTCTAGTGAACAGCCCAGAGTTTCCCATATAGCTTCCTCTAATAAACTTCATTCCTAACATTCTTATAAAAACTCACAGCTGTATTTTAAATGTTTCCCTACTTACTTGGAGGGTCGCCATTTTCTTCTCCTGGGGTGTCTGAAGTGGACAACAGCTATGAAATAAGAGAACACTTGACAGGAAAATCAGAAACCTCACACAGTCCACAGAGCACAGTCAGGGATTTGCCTTGCTGTAGGCTGGCCTAGAACTCATGACAAGCCTCTTGCCTCAGCTTTCCAAGCACTGGGATGACAGGGTGAGCCGCCACACCCGAGCAAACAGCAACCGTTAGCTGAAGTAAATGCACACGCCCTTTTGGAAACTGGGTGATTCGGACCCGTCACTGTAACCCAGGTGTAGCTCAGCACTTAGGTGTGGAGACGAGGAGTTCAAGGCCTGCCTCAGCTGCACATCTCAAACCTCTGAAACAAATAACGCCTAAGTACACTTGGTCTTATCTTACCATAAATATCATACAACTATGCTTATACTTCATCGACATTCAAGTTAGAGTTCGTGTGTCTTCCATTTAAGAGAAAGAAAGACGCAACCGTGGCTCCTCATTCCATTTGGAAAGCAATGTTTCATTTGGGTAACTCTTAGAAGGTAACAACTCTTCAACCCCATTGTGTTTTTGTTTTTAAGAAAAAATTCTGTACACTGGTAGGATATAAGATTTTTCAAAGTTTCAAAAGTAAATAACAAATTTAAAAAGAAGCCTGAATAGCAAGCTAGCAAAAAAACTATCAAGGATGCCATTATCATAGCTACATGACATGTGACTTGAACTCCGCAGCTCTTCTAAGCACACACTCACATCCTCGGGTGTGTAAGCACACACTCATCCTCGGGTGTGTAAGCACACACTCACATCCTTGGGTGTGTAAGCACACACTCACAACCTCGGGTGTGCAAGCACATTTCTTTATATCTTCCTAAGCACATTTTTTTCTTAACTATAGCACTTAAAATCACTATAAGAATTTGTTAATAGCCGGGCGTTGGTGGTGCACGCCTTTAATCCCAGCACTCGGGAGGCAGAGGCAGGAGGATCTCTGTGAGTTTGAGGCCAGCCTGGTCTACAGAGTGAGTTCCAGGACAGCCTCCAAAACCATACAGAGAAACCCTGTCTTCAAAAACAAAAACAAAAACAAACAAACAAACAAAAAAGAATTTGTTAATAAACCCCAATTTTGTCCCAAAAAATTTGTAAATAGAATGAAACAGATATAAATATCACTCTAAGGTTTCTATAATCACTATTACATGGCATAGCCCAATGCTACACTTTGTATATGGGGAGAGTGCATGTACCTGTTACCATGGGTGTGAGCAACCACACGTGCACACATGTGGGAGACAAAGGCAGACACAGATGTGTTTCTTAGCAGCTCCAGACCTTATTTCTAATACAGGGTCTCTGTCTCGTTCAACCTGGAACTCACTGAATGCTTACATCACCTGGCCAGAGAGCTCCAGGGATTCTCATCTCCAACACCTAAGTTTACTGATGCATGCTGCCACACCCGGCTTTGTACACAGGGCTGGGATCTGAACTCAGGACCTCATACTGCCCAGTAGGTACTTTACCAAACAGTCACCTCCCCAACTCTCGGGTTAATTTGAAGAATGAGTTTACCTGTTCAAGAAGATGAGGATATCTAGCTTGAATTTCATCAACAAACTCCTGCCCCTTCATCCGTATCAAGAACTCACACCTAAAACATGAAACAAAAACGATTCTAAATTATTTTTTGTGTCAAAAATAAGCTGGTTATTCTAGAAGTAACTTTCAAATCTACTTGATTATAGCCACAGCAAACATTTACATCACAACCCCGTAGGCATTTACATCTAAGAGAGCCCGAACTGTCACACACCAGCACACACTCTTACTGCGCTGGCGCATTCCATTATTTTTCTGTCTCCTCTTTACACACAACAAAGGGAAAAATTCTGACTTAGAAAGGGAAAAAGCGGGCTGAAGAGATGGCTCAGAGGTTAAGAGCACTGGCTGTTCTTCCAGAGGTCCTGAGTTCAATTTCCAGCAACCACATGGTGGCTCTGAACCATCTGTAATGAGATCTGGTGCCTCTTCTGGTCTGTGGGCATACATGCAGGCAGAACACTGTATACATAATAAATATAAATAAATCTTTTTAAAAAAGGGGAAAAAGCTGGCTTATGAAAAATAATGTTAGACATTATTTTTTTCATGATTAACACTATTTCAAAAACTATTATTCATTATCTATGAAATTTTCACTGTTCACAATACAGTAACTGTCAATCCTGCTCCAGAGTTCACTCTCCTATCTTGAAACACAACCCAGCACACTCCCTCCAGGAAACACGCAATCAAGTACTTTATCCCCACATTTTGTAGCAGTGCTTCTCAAATATGTACACTACTAAAGCTTCTCAAAAGAAGCTCACATAACATTACTGCCACCCAACTCCTTTTTGAACAAACATTAAACAACTAGATGTCCATAAGAAAATTTCTTTTGCCGGGCGTTGGTGGCACACGCCTTTAATCCCAGCACTCGGGAGGCAAAGGCAGGTGGATATGTGAGTTCGAGGCCGGGCTGGACCGACAGCCTCCAAAACAATACAGAGAAACCCTGTCTCAAAAAAACAAAAAAAAAAAAAAAGAAAAGAAAATTTCTTTTAAAAGCACAAAGACAAAAACTCTTGACCTCTGCCCATGCTCGTGCAAAAATAAACTGAAGAGGAGCCATGTCCTTCCACGAAAGAAAAGTCCTTTGGCACTTCCTCCTGCCAGCACTCCTCACATAAGAAGCTGGGAAGGAAGACGGAGACAGCTCAGCACTCAGAGCACCAGCGGCTCCTACAGAGAGCGAGAGTTCAGTCCTCAGCACGCATGGCAGGAAGTTCAAACCTTCTACAATTCTAGTTCCGGGGACCCAACGCTTCTGGCCTTCTTGGGCACGTACACTCGAGTGCACATAGCCACAGGCAGTCACACACTGCGCTAGTTTTCCATCAGCTTGACAAAGTCAAGGCCATCTGAGAGGAGGCACCTCAGCTGAGAAAATGCCTCCAAAGATGCAGCTGTGAGGCATTTTATAAACAGTGGTTGATGGGGGAGGGCCCAGTTGGCGGTGGGTGGGACCACGCTGGGCTGAGGCCCTGGGATCCATAAGAGTGCAGGCTGAGCAAACCACGAGGAGCAAACCAGTAAGCAGCACTCTGTCATGGCCTCTGCATCAGCTCCTGCCTCCAGGTTCCCATCCTGTTTGAGTTCCTGTCCTGACTTCCTTTGATGAAGACCAAAGATATAGAAGCAAAAACCAAATAAACCTTTTCCTCTCTAAAGGTCATGGTGTTTCATCACAGAAATAGTAACCCTAACTAACACACACACATAAATATGGTAACAATAAATTAAAACAAAATAAACAAGTCTGGTAATATAGCTATATCAGATCCAGAGTCTCTGCTTAGCATGCAGAAGTCCACAGGATTCAATATTCAAAACAGAACTTTTAGATAAGGACAGAAAAACAATCCATAAAAGATAAAACTGATTAATGTCATCATCAAAATTAAAGACATCGGTTCTTCAAGAGACTCTGCTAAAGAAAAAGTGGGCTGGAGATGGATCAGCAGTTAGGAGCACCTGCTGCTCTCCAGGATACCCAGCACCTATGTGAAAGGGCTCTCAGGTGCCGGCGACCCCGGCCCCACAGGCTCTTATGCCATCCTATGGCATTCATGCGCTGTGCATGCAGACACATACACAGACACGTAAATAAAAATTAAAGACAAGAGAAAATACTGATGGAGCAGTCTGACTCCATCCTAAGGACTAAGGATGGAGGCTTTTTTTTTTTTTTTTTTTTTTGGTTTTCCAAGACAGGGTTTCTCTGTGGCTTCGAACACACAGAGATCCGCCTGCCTCTGCCTCCCAAGTGCTGGGATAAAGGTGTGTGTCACCACTGCCTGGTTGACATTTTTTATAAGGTCAGAACAAGTTCATTACTTTTGCTACAAAATCCAAGGTAACCAAAGTGCTTTAACCTGTTTCTGGAATTTGCCATGCTCCTCACCCTATAGAGTTGACTCACACCTTGAATGTACCCTGATGAGATCAGATATTCTGCCAAATATTTTAAAATGTTCAGCCAAGTTCCTACATAAATAAAATTCCCCTGGAAATCCTCCAACCCTTTAAAACCTGTAGGCATACAGTTTGGTGACTATATAAATCTGACGTTCTCCTGAGTCCAACGCTATTTTCTCAAACTCCACTTTAGGGAGATAGCATGACTGACAGAAAATTAAGCTTGCTTAATTTGACCAAAGAATTTGGTCACAGTCTTTCCTCTCACTCAGTGGGATTAACAAATATAACCCGCAGATTAAAGGAGAGTTTCAAGAATGTTATCAGCAGGATGACAAAGTAAAAGGATCTTGTCTGATTGTGTCTGTAACAAACCACAACTAAAGAAGACAGCTGTCCTTGGAACACACAGCCCAGGGAGGTTCAATAACCCAACTAACAGAAAATGAAAACAGAGGCTGTGACAGTGGTGGGGTGTTTGAATAGTATGCTAAGACTGAGTTACAGCTCAACCAACAGGATCACGAGAGGGGGGAAGGGGAGGAGGGGAAGGGATGGAAGGGAACAGATAGGATGGAGAGAGCAGGGACAGGACAGGCTTAGCAGAGACATCTGGAAACAGGTGGGCTCAGAGCTCAGGAGTGCCTGTATCAGCAGTCTGGCAGGCAGACACCCCCATGGCTCCTAGGGGCCTGCTTTGGGGAAAAACCCAGAACCTTTGCCATTGAGTCATCAACAACCTTGAGACAACCACTGACCTCCTGAAGTGTCACAGCAATGCTCTCTGGTGTGTGCTGGCACTGAATTCAGAACCTCCTCTCCCATGGGGCAGCCAGTTCCCACCGCTACTACTAAGGAACCCTGGAGGCAGAAAGGAGCTCACGAGAGCCGGGCGGGTGGTGGTGGCGCACGCCTTTAATCCCAGCACTCGGGAGGCAGAGGCAGGCGGATCTCTGTGAGTTCGAGACCAGCCTGGTCTACAAGAGCTAGTTCCAGGACAGCCTCCAAAGCCACAGAGAAACCCTGTCTCAAAAAACAAAACAAAACAAAAAACTGTGTTCATGTTCTGTAGCACGGTGCTGCAGAACAGCCTTCAGTCAGAGCCTGTCCTCAAGCCCCAGCCCTGCAGCTGCTCTGCACACACCTGTGTCCCCTCTGCACACACCTGTGCCCCCCTCTGCTCTGCACACACCTGTGTCCCCCCTGCTCTGCACACACCTGTGACCCCCTGCTCTGCACACACCTGTGCCCCCCTGCTCTGCACACACCTGTGCCCCCCTGCTCTGCACACACCTGTGTCCCCTCTGCACACACCTGTGCCCCCCTGCTCTGCACACACCTGTGTCCCCTCTGCACACACCTGTGCCCCCCTCTGCTCTGCACACACCTGTGTCCCCCTGCTCTGCACACACCTGTGCCCCCCTGCTCTGCACACACCTGTGTCCCCCCTGCTCTGCACACACCTGTGTCCCCCTGCTCTGCACACACCTGTGTCCCCTCTGCACACACCTGTGTCCCCTCTGCACACACCTGTGCCCCCTCTGCACACACCTGTGCCCCCTCTGCTCTGCACACACCTGTGTCCCCCTGCTCTGCACACACCTGTGCCCCCTCTGCTCTGCACACACCTGTGCCCCCCTCTGCTCTGCACACACCTGTGTCCCCCCCGCTCTGCACACACCTGTGACCCCCTCTGCTCTGCACACACCTGTGCCCCCTCTGCTCTGCACACACCTGTGCCCCCCTCTGCTCTGCACACACCTGTGTCCCCCCGCTCTGCACACACCTGTGACCCCCTGCTCTGCACACACCTGTGTCCCCCCGCTCTGCACACACCTGTGACCCCCTGCTCTGCACACACCTGTGACCCCCTGCTCTGCACACACCTGTGTCCCCTCTGCACACACCTGTGCCCCCCTGCTCTGCACACACCTGTGCCCCCCCTGCTCTGCACACACCTGTGCCCCCCTGCTCTGCACACACCTGTGTCCCCTCTGCACACACCTGTGCCCCCCCGCTCTGCACACACCTGTGTCCCCCTGCTCTGCACACACCTGTGTCCCCCTGCTCTGCACACACCTGTGCCCCCTGCTCTGCACACACCTGTGACCCCCTCTGCTCTGCACACACCTGTGTCCCCTCTGCACACACCTGTGTCCCCCTGCTCTGCACACACCTGTGTCCCCCTCTGCTCTGCACACACCTGTGCCCCCCTCTGCTCTGCACACACCTGTGCCCCCTCTGCTCTGCACACACCTGTGCCCCCTCTGCTCTGCACACACCTGTGTCCCCCTGCTCTGCACACACCTGTGCCCCCTGCTCTGCACACACCTGTGTCCCCTCTGCACACACCTGTGCCCCCTGCTCTGCACACACCTGTGTCCCCCTGCTCTGCACACACCTGTGTCCCCTGCTCTGCACACCTGTGCCCACACCTGTGTCCCCTCTGCACACACCTGTGTCCCCTGCTCTGCACACACCTGTGCCCCCTCTGCTCTGCACACACCTGTGCCCCCTGCTCTGCACACACCTGTGTCCCCTCTGCTCTGCACACACCTGTGTCCCCCTCTGCACACACCTGTGTCCCCCTGCTCTGCACACACCTGTGTCCCCTCTGCACACACCTGTGTCCCCTCTGCACACACCTGTGTCCCCTCTGCACACACCTGTGTCCCCCTCTGCTCTGCACACACCTGTGCCCCTCCCTGCTCTGCACACACCTGTGCCCCCCTGCTCTGCACACACCTGTGCCCCCCTGCTCTGCACACACCTGTGTCCCCTCTGCACACACCTGTGCCCCCTGCTCTGCACACACCTGTGCCCCCTGCTCTGCACACACCTGTGCCCCCTCTGCTCTGCACACACCTGTGCCCCCTGCTCTGCACACACCTGTGCCCCCTGCTCTGCACACCTGTGACCCCCTGCTCTGCACACACCTGTGCCCCCTGCTCTGCACACACCTGTGCCCCCCTGCTCTGCACACACCTGTGCCCCCTGCTCTGCACACACCTGTGCCCCCTGCTCTGCACACACCTGTGCCCCCTGCTCTGCACACACCTGTGCCCCCTGCTCTGCACACACCTGTGCCCCCTCTGCTCTGCACACACCTGTGACCCCCGCTCTGCACACACCTGTGACCCCCTGCTCTGCACACACCTGTGCCCCCTCCCCTCCCCTGCTCTGCACACACCTGTGTCCCCCCTGCACACACCTGTGCCCCACATCTCCCCCACTGCTCAAGGTGAGTGTCATCATCAGCACAGCCCAGCAGCAGTCAGTGCTTGCTCCACACCCACACAGATGCTCTGTGGCTGCTCTTCAGGCTCTCAGTCATCAAGACAGACACCAGTGCTACTGGCCCCACCACTGTGAGAACACTCACAAGCCAGAACAGGTGTGAACAGGGGTCCCACTGGCCAGGATGCTTCCCATGACTGAAGAGATCATAGCTCTGATGCTGCCCAGACACTGAGAATTTGTAGCCCTTCACTGACAGGGACTTCAGCTAACAGAAGCTCCATGGAGACTATGACACTGCACTTCCCAAGGAGTCTGAGCCTGCCATACCCGACAAGCCCAAGCCCTCACACCCCATCCACGGTTAAAGGTCTTTGCTCAGCAGCCACAAAATCTAAGAAGCAGGGTGACAAGCAATTAGAAAACAAAACAAAAACCGTAACAACAAAGGAACACAATAATTTTCCAAGAACCACCTCAAAAAAAGGAAGACAAAGGTGTTTACAAACTGCTGTCAGATAAGCAAGTAATATTCATCTTCAGGGAGTGTGGTGAGTTTCAAGAGAACAAGATAGATACACAAGCTATAATGAAAGAATAAAGAGCATTTCTCCAGAGCACAGGAAAGTATGAAATTTACAGGTGAAGACAAATACATAATCATCTTCAGACTTCTCTACACTGTAGAGGGTAAATCATTCAACTCTATCATAAACGTAAAAAAAAAACCAACACTGGGACTCAGGTAAAGTGCCTATCTACTAGGTACAAAGCCCAGAATCAATCTTCAGTACTATCCCAGCCCAGCACAGAGCTAAAAACAACTGTAATTACAGCTACAGTTACAAGTGTCCTATTAAAGACATTGTTAGAAATAACTGTAGCTACAACTACAGTTACAACTGTCCTGTTTTAAAGACTTTGTTAGAAATAACTGTAGCTACAACTACAGTGACAACTGTCCTATTAAAGAAATAACTGTAGCTACAACTACAGTGACAACTGTCCTATTAAAGAAATAACTGTAGCTAAAACTACAGTTACAACTGTCCTGAGATTGCATGCCTCTGCCACTCAAGTGCTGAGATTAAAGGCCTGTGGTCATATACAATGTATTGATCCACTATAAATATTGCTACTTCCAAATTCCTGTTCATCATATATCACAGAAAAATGACCAAAGGTCCCTGTAATTTTCTGAAGGAGGTCCAACAGATTCATCATTACGGAAGGCATGTGCAAGTCCAAACTTTCTTCATTGTAGGATTCCAGTTACGTGTGGTACCAAAGTAAAAAATTCAGACACAGCAAAAGGCTGGTTGCCAGGGGTATGCTTGCAAGTGTGTGGGATACAGACTTTCAGTCTGAGAAGATGAAAAGGTTCTGAATGACTGTAAAACAGCACACATGTACTTTATGCTACACAAGAATACATTTTAGAAGGCTAAATTGCTATACTTTATGTGTATTTTATCATAATAAATAAAAACTCCTAACAGACCATTTATTTTAGAAGTGCTGCTCAAGTTCACAGAGCTAATTGGTTAAATACACAATTTCTATTTCACTAACAACTGTGCTCCTAAATTATTTTAAGCAGTAATAAAAATTAAGAGGTTAGGGATATACCTCAGTGGTAGAGCACTTGCCTACCAGATGTGAGGCCCTGGGTTCAATCCTCCACATAATAATTAGTTTGTAAGAACCATTACCAAGGGCTGGAGAGATGGCTCAGTGGTTAAGAGCACTGACTGCTCTTCCAGAGGTCCTGAGTTCAATTCCTGGCAACCATATGGTGGCTCACAACCACTTTAAATGAGATCTGGTGTCCTCCGCTGGCATGCAGGCAGAAGACTGTATATACAATAAATAAATAAAATATTAAAAAAAGAAAAAAACAGAACCATAACAAGTTGGGCGGTGGTAGCACACGCCTTTAACCCCAGCATTCAGGAGGCAGAGGCAGGTAGTTCCAGGCTAGCCTGAGCTAGTTTCAGGACAGCCAGGGCTACACAGAAAATCCCTGTCTCAACAAAAAATGAACAAAGAACCAATTACCTTGGAAACCATTTGGCATGTTCTACCCAGGGGTCATCTCCAGACTCCCAACATCTCAAACCACCATCACAACAAAAGCACTTGACATCATCGTTGCGATCTAAACAAGAAAAAAAAATGAGAAACTGACTCAAGTATATTCCCATAAACAAAGTAGAGAAAACTTTAGTCTCTGCTACCATCTTACCCACATAGTAAAAGCCAGCACTTGCAAGCTGCTCAGGCTGGATAGGAACACTGGACGGCCAGCACAGAAACGTCCTCATTCGGGCAGTGTGTGTCTGCATGCTCAGATTTGATACACTAAACCTCTGTGTTTCTGAAGAACTTTCCAGAAATGGACAGTTGGGGAAATGTCTCCGATGCTCTGACATGGCATCATCCTTTGGCTCCCAGTTGCTCAGTTTCCCACCGCAGGCAAAGCAGGCCACCCTGTCTCCAGGTCCTATGTAATAGAAGCCAGCTCTGGCCAGCTCGGCCGGGGACAGGAAGCTTAATGGCCACGCACTGTAGGTAAGAAACCTGGCCTCTTCAGTAACCATGGCATAGCTGCAGGGATTTGTCCTGGATGACAAGTCTTCCACTGCTCTGGAATTAAGAGGGTTTGAGGACAGGCTGGAGTGAGCGCCAGCTCGTTCGGGAACAGGTAACGAATGTGTAAGCCCACTTCTCACAGGGGCTGTGTCCTTGGATGGGGACTGCAGACTAGCAGAGAGCAGGGTGCGGGCAAAGCTGCAGCTGGGGTACAGCTGTCTGTGCTTCTCCACGGGACTGTCGCCTTGCTTCCAGTTGTCCAGCATCAGGCCGCAGCAGAAGCACTTGACCTTGTCGTTGACGCCCGTGTAGTAGAAGCCAGCGCGAGCCAGGCTCCTTTCCGAGACAGGAACCCCAGCGGGGAAAGCCGAGAACGTGGACAAGCGGTACAGCTCACATGAAAAGTCGTACTTCATTTTTTCTTTGCTCTCTCTTGTCCAGTCTGGCAGGGCTGGGCTGCTTTCCATTATACTTGTGGGTTTTGGTGTCAGGCACCTCGGACAACTCTTTGGGAGAGAGCTTTGTGCATGAGTGGTGAGACTATCTGACAGCTTAAACTGTACTTGTGAAGCCTCTCACAACCTCACACTAAGCACTCACGACTCTAGGATCACATGAACTCTTCTAGGTAACCCAAGAGCTATTTAACCATAATTTACCTTCGTTAAAAGTTATGAAATAAAGATATACTGTCAAGTGCTGACTATATTGGAAAAATTAAATGCAAGCTTTTTCCCCTTATAAGGACTTTAACACAAGGTCCAAACCTACTCTACTGTCTACCAAATACAAATAAGTAAACTTTCCACATGGCCACATTTCCTAAAAGCTAATTTCACACAGCTCATCATCACAGTATTTCCTAAAGTGGTTTATACTAATCTCAGTTACCTTCTGGGGAAGTTAACACACCTATTAAGACTACAGTATATGTGGTGAATGACCTTTGCTTAAAGCTTAAACTGTTATTAATCTCACCTGTTAAATCTTATATGTCACAACCTTAATCCTTCCTGTGTCTATTATTTTAATATATCTGGTCAACAGACAGTATTTTGTCCATAAACTTGAGTAGACTGCATTTTTAAAAGTCCACTTAGCTTCACTAAGTCTGTTATAAGCATGAAGCACTTTATGAAGACATAGCTCTCTTCTGTTACCACAAGTATCTAACAAGCCTGTTTTACCACAGCATTCCTGTTAACAAATGTACCATACTAACTAGCCTTTTTTGAGAACTCAATATTTATATAACTATTCATACACAAAAGTACACTCCATAGTATTTAAACTGCATTTTTTATAAAAATTTTCAGATTTCCATGACTCAGTTTATTTCTAGGGAAACACGGAAGGAAATGGAGACTCTTCAGTGCTGTAAATCTGGAAGGGAAAAAAAGATTATTTTTAGAAAACTAATTGCATACCAATTATGACCTGTTCAATTTATTCACTAATATCTAAAAAATTACTCATTCTAGACAATACATCCTAACTAAAGCAGTTTCTCACCCAGTCTACTTAGAAAAGGTCTAAATCAAAATACACGCTTGCAAAAGACTTCCCAGAGCACTAACTGTGCCTTTCTTTAGAGCCCAGAGCTTTGTACATTTATAAAAAGTAGAAACTTGAAGACAGATGGACATTTCCATCAAGGAAGAAAAATTGGTCCCCGATTTCACATTTCTGATTTTATTTACTGTTTATTTATTGTTACACAAAATGTACCACACTTCATGGCTTTTTTTTTCAGTTGTTTGTTTGTTTGTTTTGGCAGGGACAGTGTCTCACTCTGTAGCCTAGGCTGGCTAAAAGCTAATGTAACTCAAGCTGGTTTTAAAACTTGTCGGAATTCTCTTGTGTCGCCTCTCGAGCGCTAGGACCACACCGCTGCTCCTTTCATTTTCTGATTTAGGGACTTTTTGATGGGGCACTCGGTCGGAGGCAATGGGCGCCCGTGGGTAGTGGAGAGACAGTCTGCAGCTTAGGGCTTTTCTGCCTGACAGGTAAGGGACCCTGGGGTTTACTCATCGCAATCGCTAAAGAAAGAAGAAAGGAGGAACTCAATGAGCGTTGGCCTGGTCGGGACTCAACTGGGAAGAGGTCGCGAACGCATTCCGTTAAGGACAACCATTCCGCAGCAATGCCGAAGCAAAAAGCACGGGAGCGGGCAGAGCGCGGGCAGAAGGCGGCGACGGCAGGCGCGGCTCGGGGTCCCGTGTCCAGCCAGCGCCTGCTCGACCTCCCTCCCTCTCTCTCTCTCCGGGCGCCGGCCGGGGGCGACGCGGGCGGGAAGGGCAGAGCCGCGCTCCCCGGTCCCAGCCGGGGTCGCTCTCCAGGCAGGGAAGCGACGTCGCCGCCGGCGAGCCTGAAACCCCGCGAGGTGGGCGCGGCGGTGCGGGCCGGCGACCCCGGCGCCCGGGAGACGGAGGCAGGGGGAGCGCCGCGCGCTGCACGCCCTCGGACCGGGGCTGACTCCGGAAGGTAAACAAAGCGGAGCCGGGGAGCCAGTGCCAGCCCGCGGGCTGGGAAGCGGGCGGTGGTGGGCGGCCTCGAGGACGGGGCTTCTCCGGGGAGCCGAAGGCGCCCGCCCGCCCAGCCTCCCGCCCGGAGCCGCACTCACCGCGGGGCCGCAGGACTCCGGAAGCGGCCTCACCGGACCGCTCATCCTCCGCCTTCCCGAAAGCCCCCGGGCCGGCTGCACGGCGCGGGCGCGGTGACGTCGCACGGCGCGCGCCCACCGCGCTATACGCGGGGGGGGGGGGGGACGCTAAGTGAGTCGCGCGAGATTGCCCTGGCGCCGGCGCTTGCGCGTTCACGTTTTAGAAGCCGAACATCCGGGCCTCGCTGCCCGGGACCCGACCGGGGCTGGGCCTTCGCGAACGCCCGTCCGGGCGAGCTGGCGCTCTCCTTCCGCCAGGTGTTTTAAGTCGCGGTGGCGGCCTGACGGGCGGCGACCGTGAGCCGCTGTTCGGGGCGCGGGAAGCTCTCCCGCCGCCCGGGTCCTGGAGACAGGCGCCGTGGCCAACGTGGCTTCGCCGCCAGGGCGGCTCGCACGCCGAAAGCTGGCCTCGGGACGCCCGAGGGCGTGTGTAACTTGCTCTTCTTTGTAAGATAGGCTTTACACCGATGAGTGGGCTCGTCTGGTGCACACCGCACATCCCGGGAGGTGAACCCAGCCGCGGCTTGCACACCGAGCTAACACCGAGACATACAAACCGAATCTTACCGCGGCTAGCATACCTAGGCTTGCACACCTAGGCTTGCACACCAAGGCTTGCACACCGAGCTAACACACCGAATATTACACCCCGCGGCTTGCACACCAAGTCTAACACATCGAGGCGTGCACACCGCGGCTGGTGAGACCCTTTGGGGCGGGGAGGCGGTTATACATTTTTTTTTTTTTACGTACACGCAGGCCGCAAACAGATAAGGAAAGAGCGGGGTCTGGTTTGGAGGAAGGCTCTGTGGGAGCGTTAATGGATAATGGGGAGAGCGTGGTCCAAGTGTGTTGTTGTAAATCAGTGATGAGTCTATGGAAGAATAAACTTACGCCCCTCCCGCACCCTCCGCCGCCCCTCCTACACAAAGCACTGGCTCACTGGGAACTTTCCGCGCCTGCCCTCCTGTTTGGATGTGTTGTGCTTGTTACTTGGTTGTTTGGGGTTTGCTTTTGCGGATTTTTGTTTGTTTGTTTGAGAAAAGATTTTACTACGGGGCTCAGGCTGGCGCGGGATTTAGCATCCTTCTTCAGCCTCCTGTGTGCCGGGATTGGAAGTGCACGCCGGGACGCGGGAAGGGAGGGTTACGATCTAATTTATCTTGGGCTAGACAGTCTTAGCCAATGAAGTCAGATCTCTCCGGGGAACTCCAGGGGGCAAACATTTCAAAAATTTAGAAATAAGAGGCCACTGGATTAGGCAGCCGGGGGAATTCCAGAGCGCCGAGCCCTCTCCCCGTCTTTCTGCCTGCAGTAGGTCAGTCACAGAACCGGCCGCCTTCTGTCCCGTTGCTGACCGCAAAAAGAAATTATTTGTCCGTTTGTGACACAGGAAAGACATGGCATGGTTCCCAATGACTACCTTCCAAAAACTCACATGAATGCCAGTGTCTAGTTCAAATCATTACTTCTCTCAAAGTTACAAGAAAAATTCCTAATACTTGTGGGACTCTAGCAAGAACTGTGCACATTGAATTCTAGAGTATGTCTCTTCCCCGGTTCTTGTCCTGACCAAAACACAAGACAGTGAGTCCACTTAAGTATGTGGGAAAATCCCAACCACCAAAATCCAGAAGCTTCAGAACTTACTGCTTTCTAAAGCCCAATCATCTATTTTGTTGACCATTTATTCAACTAATACTTTCCCTATTATCCATGTAGAGCTGATAATTTTGAGCTGGTTATCATGACATTTCATCTTTATATACAAAAAATGTACAATTCAAGATAATTTTGAAGAAAAGATAAGACTGAAAAGACTTCTGGAACTTAAGTTTGTATAATAAAACCAGCGGCTGGAGAGATAACAGTTAAGAGCTCTTGCAGAGGACCCTGGTTCATCTAAAATCCCCATCGTGGGCCACATCTCTGTAACTAGAGTTCCAAAGGATTCCACGCCCTGCTCCGGCCTCCGTGGGCATTGCATACAAGTGATGCAATGCACATTCAGGCAAAATGTACATAAAATAAAATACATAAATAAAAAAAGTTAAATGTCAACTTCTTGGTAGTATGCCTTTCTCCACTTAGAAAATTGCGGAGTCTGCTCAGTAGTAGCACATGGAGGCAAATGTTACACGTGCTGGTGATATGCGGCATAAGTACACCACAGTATACTCAAAAAGCAGTTAAGAGCCAGGGATAGTGGCTCAGGCCGAGTATCTCTGCGAGATCAAGGCCAGCCTGACCTACAAACACAGTGAGTTCCAAACTAGCTTTGTTACTTTTGGGTCTGCGGCTACAGTAAAAGAATAGGTACCGCCAGGGGGCGCATGTGCAAGCTCCAGAGGGCTAGTAGGTCCCTGGACCGCAAAAGAGCATCCAGCCAGTGAGCCGCAATGGTGTTCCAGTGATGATAAAGGAAGACACACACGGCCAGCCGCCAACATTCACGACCACCAGGGCCCACTCCGCCCACCCCCAAATAACCATGCAAATTACAGATAGCAGAACCGCCCAGGCAAGACAGACGCCTGTTACTGAAGAGGACAGTGGGACCGCCGGAACTTGAGCCTCTCCAACTCTTTTCCTGCCTGCCAAAAGCAGTAGACCAGGAGCTGTTCTTTCTTTTCTTTTCCTTTTCGAGATAGGGTTTCTGTGTAACAGCACTGCCTGTCCTACTTGAAAACCAGGCTGTCCTTGAACTCACAGAGATCTTACCTATGCCTCCCAAGTGCTGGGAATAGGTGTGCACCACCACACCCTGTGACCTTTTCTTTCCTACAAAAAAAAGTTTAAGGTTCCTCTAGCCAAAGAGAAAAAGTATTACCATAGACCTGGCTCAGGGATTATGCAAAATTCAAAAGATTGTCTATTTTTAAAATTGAAGGGTTGTTTCTAGGCTGAGGGTGTGTGGTATAGCATTTGAGACAATGAATTTCAAACTTCACATTACAAGTTAAATGCTAGAATGCATTTTCTTAAGAAAATATTGAATATTCAGTTATTTTCCCTTTGACAGGCATTTGGGTGGTCTCCAGCCTTCCACAAACAGTTGTAATTAACAGGTTGGGATAAATGTCTTATTTTGTAATGTTTTGCTGGGAATGGGCTGTTGTTAGCATCTTGTGTAAATTATGTATATTTTGCTGGACACATTCATCTGAGGGAATGTTGGCGATTGCAACCCGAGAGACAATACAGGGTGTGTGTCTGAGCCCAGAGCACCCGCCACCCTGTCGTCTGCTAGGCAACACTGGAGGCGCAGGCACAAGAGTAGCCATGCTCCACCGTTGGCTTAGGTGCTCGGGATTTGAACTCAGGTCCTCAAAGCTTGTGCAGCAAGCCCTCTTAGGCACTGAGCCATTCCCCCACCTGAACGTGGCTTCTTCAAGGAGAGCAGAGACTGCGAGAGGAGAACAGGGAAGGCAAAGGGAAATGACTCAGAACAAAGCGTATGGATGACACAGAAGGAACCCTCCACCCCGGGAGGGTTTATATCTCTTGCCAGACTTTCCAAAGTGCCTGAAAATAGACTAGCACACCTTCCCCAAGACACTCATGGCAAGACTGTGAGCTCTGCTGTGAGGTGACTCCTCTCTGCCTGTGATCCCCCCGACTTAGAAGTTACAAGCAGGGGATCAGGAGTCCAAGGTCACCCCCGGTCACATAGAGAGTCTGAAGCCAGCTTAAGATGTGTGTGGCACTGTCATTTAAGGAAAGAAATGAAAAGCACTGTACAGGGCGACAGGCCTTGGCTTCACTTCCACATCGAGCAGAGACGGTGGTGTGTTCCTCACACCGACCGCAGAAGATTGCAGACTACGGGCATGTCCATCATGGCTGGAAGGGTGGATCTTGTGTTCAGCCCTTGCATCTGGGCCCCCATTCGTTCCCCTACTTACAGCAGGCTTGGGCTCCTTAGCTCAGAACCAACCTAACTCAGACTTGAAGTTTTGTACATTTTGCTCAGATTACCAACCATATGTGTAGTCATTTAGAGCCTTCCTGCTCTTCAGTACCCAGAAATCTCCCCCCTGCTGGCTCGGGACACCAAAGGCTTCCACTGCCCTTCTGAGGCAGACAACATCAGGAGTGTGTTAGCACCCTGGGACTCCACGGTGTGGGCTGTGTACATTCTGCTCCATGGACACCGTACCTCCCAACCTGATGGCAACCTAGGTACCCACTCTAGCATCAGGCTGCACGGATACCTGCCTAAAATAACTCCCCTTAGCAACCTCTTGACAAAGCTCCATTTGTATCCAAATATATCCCAAGACACACCATGAAAGTGAGTAACTGGTTTGGGGTTCCTGCCTAGTAAGACACACTGTATCCTTTGAGTGAGCTCTTAAGGAAAATCCCGTTTATCATCTTATGATGGGTGTTCATGTGGTTAAAATCAGATGCCTCATTGGAAGGGAGATGCCCAGTGAGCAAAGGCTCCACAACCAATCCTGTCAGTCAAAACAGGGACCCTCACCATGTCCCTTTGCAACCAAGGTCCTTCCTCTCTTGAAGCCCACAAGCCCCAGACAAGCCTTGAGTACTCTGGCTCACTGTCACCCTTGACACTTTCTTGCTGGCCTGTCCTCTTCCTCTACTTTGAATAAAGTAGTCTCGATACTTTGCAATCAGTGTGCAACCAATTTCATTCTCAATAAGATACCAAAAACCCTGCAGATCCCCAACCCAGAGCCAGATCTCTGCTGCTGTGATAAAACCGTGATGCCGCTAGCCCGGGGAGGAAACGCTTACCTTGTGTCCAGGTTACAGTGCGTTATTGGGGAAGCAACACTCGCACCTGGAGACTAGAACTGTAGCAGAGGCCGGGGAGGAGCCCTGCTTACTGCCTTGCTTCCTGGGCTTGCTCAGCCTGCCTTGCTTCCTGGGCTTGCTCAGCCTGCTTTCTGATACCCCAGGCCCATCTGCCTAAGAGAGCACCACCACTGTGGACTGGGCTAGTCCCACGTTAATTAGCAACTGAGGAGATGCTCCAGATATGCCTGGAGGCCAATCTGATGGAGGAGGTCATTCTTCCATTGAGAACCCATCCCCCCAGGTGTGTCAACTTGACAGCTGAAGCTATAACAGCCGGCTTGTGAGCACATACTTTTTTTCATTAGCTCCCAGATCTTTGAACTTAAGGGTGGCCTTCGGGTAAGAGCTTACCTGCTCTGTCAGTTCTCTCCTTGAGTAAACTGTCACCAAGTTTCCTTTACATCTATTTCAGATTCATCTATGTATGACAACAATGTGAAAACTGGGTTCCCTCCCCCCTTCCATGACAAACTAATGTATGACAGGGGAAAACATCATTGCAAGAAATAACAGTGTCGGGGCTGGAGAGATGGCTCAGAGGTTAAGAGCACTGGCTGCTCTTCCAGAGGTCATGAGTTCAGTTCTCAGCAACCACATGGTGACTCACAACCATCTACAATGATATCTGGTGCCCTCTTCTGGCCTTCAGGGATATATGCAGAACACTATACATAATAAATAGGTTAGAGAGAGAGAGAGAGAGAGAGAGAGAGAGAGAGAGAGAGAGAGAGAGAGAGAGGGAGGGAGGGAGGGAGGGAGGGAGGAGGCAAACACAAGACCGAAAGCACCTTTTCATTCTCTATGCATTTCCAGTCAAGGAAGCATTGAGCTAATTCCCATAGACTAATGTCATGCTGCCCTACCTGGCTTTTATGGGGCTCTGGGGATTTGAACTCGGGTCTCATGCTTTGTGTCTAGTACTTCACTGATTTCACCATCTCTCTATGCCTGTTACTTAAGTTTTCTTAGACAGTGTGGCAGGGGTCTGCGTGTGACTAAACAGCCAGTGTCACTAAATAAATTAACAACAAGGGTCATTTTGTTGCTTTATTAATTTTTCCTAGCAAAATCTTTATAAAAACTCCACATCCCTAAAATGTCATTCAATAAATAAAACACTTAGAAAAGAAGTTGAAACTCTGTGTTCCCAGTTCTTAAAGCAACTCAAAAGATTTCAGATTCTGAACCACAAATGCCAGCATCATAAGTCTCCTCTGAAAATTTCAGGAATGTAGGCAATCTGCTTTTCAGGACCAAGAACAGAATCCCACCTCTCGGCATCTGGATGTACAGACAGATACGCTTCAGACGCAGGTATTACATAAATACGTGTACAGAAAACAGCTTTCTGACTTGGAAATAAATAGCACTTTTTAGGACTCCAAATCAGTGTAAGAGTTAAAAATATTACATAATTAATCCATTCTTTCTTGAGTTTAGGCAGCATGTTTCTTTTCCCCTCATTTTTCGTTTGTCCGTGTGTTTCCTGATTTATTCGGAGGCAGTGTCTCATGCAGTCCAGGCTTGCCTCAAGTTCCATAGGTAGCTGAGGATGACCTTGGACCTCTGCTCCTCCTGCTCCACCTCCCGTGTGCTGGGCTCTCAGCCATGGATCCGTCGAGTTCAGGAGAGAAACGTGCGCACCGTGCCCTTGATGGTGCCTCTGCAGATGGGGCACTTTCTCAGAGAGGGAGCACAGTCTTTGCACACGACCAGGTGGCCACAGGGAATGAACACGATGGACACCTCTCTGTCCATACACACTTTACATGTTCTTTCTTCCTGTAGCTTCCGCAACTGTTCTTCCATCGGTAGAGCTATGAAGAGGGGGCAATTTTTATTTTAAGCACAGGTCTCTTGTGAAACCCAAGTGACCTCAGACTTTGGTTCTCCCACCTCCAATTTCCAAGTGCTGGCTGCTCACATGTATGATGCCATGTGAGGTAAGAAAAATAACTTTTAATGGAAAGCAATTTGCTTTTCCTCCAGTGAAACCCCAAGAAAATAAAACAATGACTTCCTCAGGTTTAAAGACGTAGTACTCTTACCTGCAATGTCATCTGTGGGAAGACACCTGATGTCCTGCCGCACTGGGGACGGAAAGGGGACAGCATTACTATGGCAACCAAGGCTATACACTAGCTATACACTAGGATTTGTTTATTTATTTTTGGAATGAAGGTCTTCAAACCCAGGGCCTGATGTATGCATGCTAGGCCAACAGGCTTTCACTGAGTCAAATCCACAGCCCAGAATACATTCTACAAAAGTTTATTTACCTAGTACTAATGTTTGAGACACACAATTATTCTATAACCCAAGCTGGCATTGAACTCATAATCTTCTTGCTTCAGCGTCCTGACTGCTGGGATTACAGGTGTGTATTACTATGCCCAACAGTGAATTTATTTAGTTACTTATGAGTGTGTGTGAGAGAGAGGGAGGGGGGCAGACAGACAGAGAGAGAGACAGAGAGACAGAGAGACAGAGAGAGAATATGTTCACCCAGGATGCCACAGTGTGCATGATGAGGCCAGAGGACTACTTTTGGGAGTTTTCTCCTTCCACTGTGGGTTCTGGGGAGTCAAACTCAGGTCACCAGATTTATGCTGGGATTATGGAGTGTGGTGATTTGAAAGAAAATGGCCCCCAAAGGGAGTGGCACTTTCAGGAGGTGTGGCCTTGTCGGAGCAGGTATGATCTTGTTGGAGGAAGTGTGTCACTGTGGAGGAGGGGTCTGAGGTCTCATACATGCTCAAGCCACTCCCAATGAGACAGACCACTCCCCGCTGCCTGTGCACGATGTAGGACTCTCGGCTTCAGCACGGTGTCTGTCTCCACACCATGATGGCCATGAGCGGAGCCTTTGAACTGTGAGCTATCCCATTAAATGTTTCCTCTGCAAGAGCAACAGAAGCGCTAACTGCAACAAAGGGCAAGCGCCTTCACCTGACGAGCCATCCTGCTGCCCCTCCCAGCAGCTTTGAAACACTCAACACTTTGAACAAAATCTCATAGTATTAACACGAAACCCTTAACTTTTGCGCAATTAAAATGTATAAGTTGGGCTGAGTTACTTCCAATAATCTCCGGTTTTCCAACTGACCCGGAAAACTCCCCCAAATAATTTTCTAGCGCTTACCAAACAGATCTTTGTATAGCACAGGGTCACTCTCCTGAAGGGAGTTTCTGAATGAGGCGGCTGCAGCCTTCCCTTTGGCCAATACAGTGTCAATCAGTGTTCTTGCCTGCAGGGCCTGTGGCTTCTGTCTAACCGCCTCCCACTCCTGTTCGGTGATCGCCCTGGCGCTCAGGAGACAGTCCAGGATCGGCATCACGCACGTCAAGTACTGAGAAAGCCCCAGCTTGTTCCTCCGGATTAATGTCAGATCATCTGTATGGAGAGAGAGAGAGATTTAAACTCCGCTCACAAACTTCTTTCTCTACCTACATAACACATGAAGGAAATCATACATGCATTTATTTACTTAAAGATCTCCTGTATCTCAGGTTGGCCTCCAATTCACCGTGGCGTTACAATTGTGATTTTTCTGCCACCACCTCCCGAGTGCCAGCTTTCCGGATGTGTGACGCCGAGTGCAGTTGATGACGTGCTAGGGATCAAACCCAGGGTTTATGCATGCCAGGCAGGTCCTCTGACAGTAAAGCTGTGTCCATAGCCTGACACGTATGCCTTCGTCGTTAACGTTCTATTTCTACTATAAAGCTCTGTCCATAAAATGGTGAATACTATTACTAGGGTTCTGACACATGTGGAACCATGTTAGGAAGGACAAAAGATGGGGGCTGGAGAGGTAGCTCAGTGGTTAACAGCCCCGGCTACTACAGGTCCTGAGTTCAATTCCCACCAACCACATGGTGGCTCACAACCACCTTGAATGAGATCTGGTGCCCTCTGCTGGCCTGCAGTGCACATGCAAGCACAACACTATATACATCATAAATAAAATCGTTTCTTAAAAAAAACAGGACAAAAGAAATGGTGCTTAGTTAAAAAAAAATCAGTCATACATGTGCATTTGTTTCCTGTTTGGTTTTGTGTTTTCATGTAGCCCAGGCTAGTGTCAAACTCATCGTGGAGGATGACCTTAAATTCCTGCCTCCATCCAAAGGTGCTAGAATTATTCGCATGTGTGCCACAGCAGATGTTAAACACAGGTGTCCAACATGCCCGGCAAGCACTCTACCAATTAAGCTACATCATGAGCCCTGTCTGAGACAAGGTCTCGTTCTGCTCTAACCCAGGCTAGTCTGGAACGGGTATGCAGAAGGTCATGAGTTCAAGGCCAGCCTGGGCTACATAGCAAGACCCTGCCTCAAACGTTAAAAGGAAAAAGAGTGACAGTGTGCTTTCTGGTCTGCGGCAGCTCTGGTTAACACCGGTAAAGAGATCAGCATGGCTTTGGTCTACACCGGAGCGAGGAGCGCTGCGCATGCGCAGAGGAAGGTGGCTCTGAGCACAGAGCAGGGTCGCAAACACAGCTAACCTGACCCAGTGGGAAACGGAATCGGAGGGCTCCATAAACTAAGACACTGAGGGAAGACAGTTCTTGTGTGGGCAGGCAGGGGACTTAAATATGAATCTGTGCATTCGTTAACCCAGGCACTGGGGTCCATACCTGTCATCGCAGCCCTAGGGAGTGAGGAAGGAAAATAAGGATCCAACTACACAGCAAGTTCAAGGCCAGCTACCTGAGACCCTGTTTCAAAAAAAGGCGTGGGAGTGGGGCGAGGCTGGAGGGATGCGTCAGTGGGTAAGAGCACCGGCTGCTCTGGCAGAGGCCTGACCCTCACGTGCTGACCCACAATCTCCTATAACTCAGGTCTAACCTCCAAGGGCTCCTGCACACACAGTACACATAAAACTCACACAAACACACATATATTTAAAACTAATTAAATTTAGTTAATTAAACATTGCAGTCTAAGATATACTGTTAATCAGACGGGCGTTGGTGGTGCACGCCTTTAATCGCAGCACTCGGGAGGCAGAGGCAGGAGGATCTCTGTGAGTTAGAGACCAGCCTGGTCTACAGAGCGAGTTCCGGGACAGCCTCCAAAGCAAAACAGAGAAACCCTGTCTTGAAAAACCAGAAAGAAATAGAGAGAGAGAGAGAGAGAGAGAGAGAGAGAGAGAGAGAGAGAGAGAGAGAGAGAGAGAGAGAGGTCCAGGCTGGATAGACGAGCATCTTTTAGAACCTGCACTGGGTGACATGCCATCTCTCCGGAGAAGGACCTTGGGAACTGTACCTGACTCTGCTTCCTCGGCTGCCTGCTCCTTCTGCTCTTCCCTTATCTCGTCTTCTGCATCCAGTAAGCCTATCACGAGGTCGCTGACCGTCCTGTAGTTCTCGCCAGTGGCCAGGATCTGACGCTGAACTGTCTGTCTTACCAGGCTCCTACTGAAGCCCATTTCCAAAGCTGCTTTAACCACAGGCGTGTTCATCATGACCACGTCTTCTGAACTTTCATCAGGTCCGAAGTGCACAACTGTGTGGAAAGGGAGATTTAACAGACATTAGCAGCGCCCGTATACCTTTTTGTTGTGGCTGTTGTTTTGAGATTTCTTCTAGCCCAGTCGAGCCTCAAGCTTATTATGTAGCCCAGGCTGATCTCAAATGAATGACAATTCTCCTGCCTCAACCTCCCAGGTGCTAGGATTACAGGCTCAAAACAAAATGACTGGCTTCATAGACTTTTTAAATAGCAAGCTATTGCAATATCAAAACCATAAACTCTCTGAAAAGCACATAGGCACGACACTAAGAATATAGAATACTATTGCTTTAGATATAAGCCTATGACTACTTTTCCTCAAGAGCAGGAGAGAGCCCGAATGTCAGGAATCAATCCTACCAGAATCAAGGGGCTTCTTTTTCTATATTGAATAAATGAATAAGCTTTCTAAATCAAATATATATTCTACATATTTGTTTGTTTTGTTGGCATTTATTAGTTGTATACAATGTTTTTATCATAATATATATATATTTATGTATAAACATGTAATTTGATATTTCTAATTCTTTCCATTTCCTGCAAATGGCATGGTTTCCCATTTAATTAATGGGTGAATAATTTTCTTTTTTTCCCCCTGTTTTCTTTTGTGTGCAGGAGACAGAGTCTTAGCATAGAGCTAAGGTTCCTGCCTCAGCCTCTCAAATGCTGAGGTCACAGGTATGCAGTACATTATCTTTATCCATTGTCAGTGAGTTATGGCTCAACCCATAACTTGACTGTACGTTTTCACAGTTTTGAAAGACGCCATTGTCACCATTCAGTACAATTACCCCCGTGTCCTAGAGTACTGCCCCCTTCCAGCTTACTCGACACTACAACCCAGCGACTTTAAAAAACACAAACCTGATGGGGTCCCACTCCTTAAACTCAACCCCCTAACCTTAGGATATAATCGCAGCTCTACCTGTGGCTCACACATTCGGATCCGCCCACAGCCTCAGCCCTTGCTGTTCCCACACCAGAAGCAGCTTCACGCATTTGCCCTTGCATCGGGCCCTAGAGCTCACAATCTGAGCCGTTAGCTCCCAGTCTGAGGTCAACACCACAGGATTACCTGCCTGCAGCTACTCCTTCCTGCCGACAAAGTTTGCCCAGCTCTTTGAAAGTCCCTGTTCCATGTCTCTTAGGCCTCTGGTGTCCTCTTTGCCCAGATTATGCTTTCCCCTGTCAGCTAACAGATTTCTGTTCTCTCAGGCTCTCTGCTAAGAAAAGTACTCCTTCAGACAGTCTTCTCTGTCATTTTTTCGTCTTGTTTTATGGGTTTTAGATGGGGGAAGAGGGGTTGCCATGGCATTGGGGCTGGAGAGATGGCTCAGCAGTTAAGAGCACTGGCTGCTCTCCCAGAGGACCAGGTTCAATTCCCAGCACCCACATGGCAGCTCACAACTGTCTGTAACTCGAGTTCCTGGAGGCCTGACACCCTCACACAGACACACATGCAGGTAAAACTCCAATGCACTTAAAAACCAAAATAAATAAACTATTAAAATGTATTTCCTTGAACACTGAAAAGCAGAGTCAAGATCTGTTCAAATGCTTGCTCCACCCTCTTGGGTTTAAGTAATATGCAAGTCACACTGGCAATCTGGGCTTTGGGGTCCCGCTGAAAGGATGAAACACTGTGCTCCACCCTCTCTGTGGACAGGAGGAGTCTGCCAGCAGCTGAAGGCATAGTGTATCTGTTCCCATAACAACAAGGCAAGGCTAGATGTATGCAGTCTGTATAGATGCCCAGGGCTACGGGGTGCAGCTCAGTGAAAGAGGCTGTGATTGGCATGCCCCAGGCCCTAGGTTAACAGGACCATCAAAAACAAAAGCACAAACAACTGCACATACTACATACACTGATCCAGTCTATGAGGTCTGAAGCATAAACTAGACATGAACACTGTTGGCTCTCCAAGCAACCCTGCTGTGCATTGATGTTTGACAGACAGTAACAGGGTGCATTAATTATAAATTGTAGATCAACGTGAACATGCATTTACCATTATAACCTTCCAATCCTTTCCGTTTATTTTTAGGACAGGGTCTAAGTAGTTCAACGGGGCCTTGAACACACAGTCACCTCCCAATGCTGGCCTGTTACAACCACACACATCTCCACCTTCGCTCTTAGTACAAGCTGGCTCACTTGAATGCATTGGGCCATCATACATACTTGGTGACTCTGCGCTCTCGTCTTCTGGGGCGTCTGAGGTAGACAACAGCTGTGGGGAAAACATACGTGTTAAAGTGTAAACTGCACCCCACCACGACCAACACAGCTGCTTCACTGAGCCTACTGCAAGCCCACTTGGCCGTCCAGAAGACACTTCTTTTCAGCTTATTTTATATAAGCTCTCATTTGCTTTTTCCGAGGAGCAGCAACAAATGCTTTTTCAAGTCATTTAAGAAAAATTTACAGGGTTGGAGAGACAGCCCAGAGGTTAAGAGCACTGGCTGCTTGTGCTTTCGGAGGTCCTGAGTTCAATTCCCAGCAATCACATGGTGGCTCACAACCATCTATAACGAGAGCTGGTGTCCTCATAATAAATAAGTAAATCTCTAAAAAAAAATTTACTGGGTAGACTTTCCCTCAAATTTAATTTACTTTTTGCTTCAGAGTTTAATTCATTGGTGGTTGGTTAGATAAATGCTTAAAGAGGACTACAACAAACAATGTCTTTCATGCAGCTAATAATTACAATTCTTTCTCTCACAAGAATGGCTCCCGGAATGGTGATACTGAGCTTTGAGGGGAAAGACGAGGTTCCTGTTCTAAAACAACGTTCATCTTTTCACTAAGATGTTCACTTCGTGACTTATTTTACAAACAAATTCTTAAAGACAATTTGTTAAACAACTAACCCTTTAGAAATAAATAAAAATGTATTACAGAGGCCTTTCCTACCTGTTCAAGTAGATGAGGGTAGCCGGCTTGAACTTGGCCCACAAACTCTTGTCCTTTGATTCTTATCAAATATTCACACCTAAAAATGCAAACAAAGAAGCCTTAGGCATTCCTTAACAAGAAAAACTTTGTTCATTACAGCTTCAGAAGGGACTGTGCCACTACAAGTGATTTTATTATGATTATTTTATGATTAAAATTCACTTTAATTTTAGAATGTGGAGTGAAATACAATGAAACATTCAGGTCTAAGTGTTCACCAGGTGTGAAATCTGGTTACGCGGGCGAAGAAGCACCAGAGACCAGACTGCGAACATTCGGAGCATAAGCAAGCCCAGGCCACCAGGACTGGCCCGCACTGTGTACTCTTGTCTTCTTCGAAGACCTGTGAAGGCTCATTGCTTTGCATGTGTGTGTGTCCGTGTCCATGTGTGTTCTCATGTACTGTGTATGATCATGTGTGAGCTCATGCACTCACTGTGTGTGTCCGTGTGTGTGCTCATGCTCTGTGTGTGTGTCCATGTGTGTGCTCATGCTCTGTGTGTGTCCATGTGTGTGCTCATGCACTGTGTGTGTGTCCATGTGTGTGCTCATGCTCTGTGTGTGCGTGTCCATGTGTGTGCTCATGCACTGTGTTTGTCTATGTGTGTGCTCATGCACTCACTGTGTGTGTCCGTGTGTGTGCTCATGCACTCACTGTGTGTCTCCGTGTGTGTGCTCATGCTCTGTGTGTGTGTCCATGTGTGTGCTCATGCACTGTGTGTGTCCATGTGTGGGCTCATGCTCTGTGTGTGTGTGTCCATGTGTGTGCTCATGCTCTGTGTGTGTGTCCATGTGTGTGCTCATGCTCTGTGTGTGTGTCCATGTGTGTGCTCATGCTCTGTGTGTGTGTCCATGTGTGTGCTCATTCACTGTGTGTGTGTCCATGTGTGGGCTCATGCTCTGTGTGTGTGTTCATGTGTGTGCTCATGCTCTGTGTGTGTCCATGTGTGTGCTCATGCACTGTGTGTGTGTCCATGTATGTGCTCATGCTCTGTGTGTGTGTGTCCATGTGTGTGCTCATGCACTGTGTGTCCATGTGTGTGCTCATGCACTGTGTGTGTGTCCATGTGTGTTCTCATGCACTGTGTGTGTGTCCATGTGTGTGCTCATGCTCTGTGTGTGTGTGTCCATGTGTGTGCTCATGCTCTGTGTGTGTGTTCATGTGTGTGCTCATGCTCTGTGTGTGTGTTCATGTGTGTGCTCATGCACTGTGTGTGTGTCCATGTGTGTTCTCATGCTCTGTGTGTGTGTCCATGTGTGTGCTCATGCACTGTGTGTCCATGCACTGTGTGTGTCTGTGTCCATGTGTGTGCTCATGCACTGTGTGTGTGTCCATGTGTGTTCTCATGCTCTGTGTGTGTGTCCATGTGTGTGCTCATGCTCTGTGTGTGTGTCCATGTGTGTGCTCATGCTCTGTGTGTGTGTTCATGTGTGTGCTGATGCACTGTGTGTGTGTCCAAGTGTGTTCTCATGCTCTGTGTGTGTGTCCATGTGTGTGCTCATGCTCTGTGTGTGTGTCCATGTGTGTGCTCATGCACTGTGTGTGTCTGTGTCCATGTGTGTGCTCATGCTCTGTGTGTGTGTCCATGTGTGTTCTCATGCTCTGTGTGTGTGTCCATGTGTGTGCTCATGCTCTGTGTGTGTGGGCTCATTCACTGTGTGTGTCTGTGTCCATGTGTGTGCTCATGCTCTGTGTGTGTGTTCATGTGTGTGCTCATGCTCTGTGTGTGTGTACATGTGTGGGCTCATGCTCTGTGTGTGTGTTCATGTGTGGGCTCATGCTCTGTGTGTGTGTTCATGTGTGTGCTCATGCACTGTGTGTGTGTCCATGTGTGTGCTCATGCACTGTGTGTGTGTCCATGTGTGTTCTCATGCTCTGTGTGTGTGTCCATGTGTGTGCTCATGCTCTGTGTGTGTGTCCATGTGTGTGCTCATGCACTGTGTGTGTCCATGTGTGTGCTCATGCACTGTGTGTGTCCATGTGTGTTCTCATGCTCTGTGTGTGTGTCCATGTGTGTGCTCATGCACTGTGTGTGTCCATGCACTGTGTGTGTCTGTGTCCATGTGTGTGCTCATGCACTGTGTGTGTGCCCATGTGTGTTCTCATGCTCTGTGTGTGTGTACATGTGTGTGCTCATGCTCTGTGTGTGTGTTCATGTGTGTGCTCATGCTCTGTGTGTGTGTCCATGTGTGGGCTCATGCTCTGTGTGTGTGTTCATGTGTGGGCTCATGCTCTGTGTGTGTGTTCATGTGTGTGCTCATGCTCTGTGTGTGTGTTCATGTGTGTGCTCATGCACTGTGTGTGTCCATGTGTGTGCTCATGCACTGTGTGTGTGTCCATGTGTGTTCTCATGCTCTGTGTGTGTGTCCATGTGTGTGCTCATGCACTGTGTGTGTCTGTGTCCATGTGTGTGCTCATGCACTGTGTGTGTGCCCATGTGTGTTCTCATGCTCTGTGTGTGTGTACATGTGTGTGCTCATGCTCTGTGTGTGTGTCCATGTGTGGGCTCATGCTCTGTGTGTGTGTCCATGTGTGTTCTCATGCTCTGTGTGTGTGTCCATGTGTGTGCTCATGCACTGTGTGTGTGTCCATGTGTGTTCTCATGCTCTGTGTGTGTGTCCATGTGTGTGCTCATGCTCTGTGTGTGTGGGCTCATTCACTGTGTGTGTCTGTGTCCATGTGTGTGCTCATGCTCTGTGTGTGTGTTCATGTGTGTGCTCATGCTCTGTGTGTGTGTCCATGTGTGGGCTCATGCTCTGTGTGTGTGTTCATGTGTGGGCTCATGCTCTGTGTGTGTGTTCATGTGTGTGCTCATGCACTGTGTGTGTGTCCATGTGTGTGCTCATGCACTGTGTGTGTGTCCATGTGTGTTCTCATGCTCTGTGTGTGTGTCCATGTGTGTGCTCATGCTCTGTGTGTGTGTCCATGTGTGTGCTCATTCACTGTGTGTGTCTGTGTCCATGTGTGTGCTCAAGCACTGTGTGTGTGTCCATGTGTGTTCTCATGCTCTGTGTGTGTGTCCATGTGTGTGCTCATGCTCTGTGTGTGTGTGCTCATTCACTGTGTGTGTCTGTGTCCATGTGTGTGCTCATGCTCTGTGTGTGTGTTCATGTGTGTGCTCATGCTCTGTGTGTGTGTACATGTGTGGGCTCATGCTCTGTGTGTGTTCATGTGTGGGCTCATGCTCTGTGTGTGTGTTCATGTGTGTGCTCATGCTCTGTGTGTGTGTCCATGTGTGTGCTCATGCACTGTGTGTGTCCATGCACTGTGTGTGTCTGTGTCCATGTGTGTGCTCATGCACTGTGTGTGTGTCCATGTGTGTGCTTATGCTCTGTGTGTGTGTCCATGTGTGTGCTCATGCTCTGTGTGTGTGTTCATGTGTGTTCTCATGCTCTGTGTGTGTGTCCATGTGTGTGCTCATGCTCTGTGTGTGTGTTCATGTGTGTGCTCATGCTCTGTGTGTGTGTCCATGTGTGTGCTCATGCACTGTGTGTGTCCATGCACTGTGTGTGTCTGTGTCCATGTGTGTGCTCATGCACTGTGTGTGTGTCCATGTGTGTTCTCATGCTCTGTGTGTGTGTCCATGTGTGTGCTCATGCTCTGTGTGTGTGTCCTTGTGTGTGCTCATTCACTGTGTGTGTCTGTGTCCATGTGTGTGCTCATGCACTGTGTGTGTGTCCATGTGTGTTCTCATGCTCTGTGTGTGTGTCCATGTGTGTGCTCATGCTCTGTGTGTGTGTGCTCATTCACTGTGTGTGTCTGTGTCCATGTGTGTGCTCATGCTCTGTGTGTGTCCATGCACTGGGTGTGTCTGTGTCCATGTGTGTGCTCATGCACTGTGTGTGTCCATGCACTGTGTGTGTCCATGCACTGTGTGTGTCTGTGTCCATGTGTGTTCTCATGCTCTGTGTGTGTGTCCATGTGTGTGCTCATGCTCTGTGTGTGTGTTCATGTGTGTTCTCATGCTCTGTGTGTGTGTCCATGTGTGTGCTCATGCTCTGTGTGTGTGTTCATGTGTGTGCTCATGCTCTGTGTGTGTGTCCATGTGTGGGCTCATGCACTGTGTGTGTCCATGCACTGTGTGTGTCTGTGTCCATGTGTGTGCTCATGCACTGTGTGTGTGTCCATGTGTGTTCTCATGCTCTGTGTGTGTGTCCATGTGTGTGCTCATGCTCTGTGTGTGTGTCCTTGTGTGTGCTCATTCACTGTGTGTGTCTGTGTCCATGTGTGTGCTCATGCACTGTGTGTGTGTCCATGTGTGTTCTCATGCTCTGTGTGTGTGTCCATGTGTGTGCTCATGCTCTGTGTGTGTGTGCTCATTCACTGTGTGTGTCTGTGTCCATGTGTGTGCTCATGCTCTGTGTGTGTCCATGCACTGGGTGTGTCTGTGTCCATGTGTGTGCTCATGCACTGTGTGTGTCCATGCACTGTGTGTGTCCATGCACTGTGTGTGTCTGTGTCCATGTGTGTTCTCATGCTCTGTGTGTGTGTCCATGTGTGTGCTCATGCTCTGTGTGTGTGTTCATGTGTGGGCTCATGCTCTGTGTGTGTTCATGTGTGTGCTCATGCTCTGTGTGTGTGTTCATGTGTGTGCTCATGCACTGTGTGTGTGTCCATGTGTGTGCTCATGCTCTGTGTGTGTGTTCATGTGTGTGCTCATGCACTGTGTGTGTGTCCATGTGTGTTCTCATGCTCTGTGTGTGTGTCCATGTGTGTGCTCATGCACTGTGTGTGTCCATGCACTGTGTGTGTCTGTGTCCATGTGTGTGCTCATGCACTGTGTTGTGTCCATGTGTGTTCTCATGCTCTGTGTGTGTGTCCATGTGTGTGCTCATGCACTGTGTGTGTGTCCATGTGTGTGCTCATTCACTGTGTGTGTCTGTGTCCATGTGTGTGCTCATGCACTGTGTGTGTGTCCATGTGTGTTCTCATGCTCTGTGTGTGTGTCCATGTGTGTGCTCATGCTCTGTGTGTGTGTGCTCATTCACTGTGTGTGTCTGTGTCCATGTGTGTGCTCATGCTCTGTGTGTGTGTCC